GTTTCGTGATCTGAACAGTCGTCCTAGGGGGTCTGCAACATGCTCTGGACTTTGATCTGTCAGTGGTAGTTCAATCCAAGGACTAAAAAAGTTTCTGTAATAATAGTTGTTACTTGTATGTTATGTTCTCCATTGTAATTGATCATATAACACATTTGTTACATGGTAGACAGTACAAAGAACAGTGGTAAACCATGACCTTTACCACGAAAGCGACGTTGTAATTCTTAAAACCTTGGATGCGACCATCCTACTGAACTCACACCCTCTGCTCATAAACCATTAGAGCACAACTTGGGGTAGGACTTGAGGGAATCTACTGGCAGGTTTTGGAAGCTCAACGGACTTTGGAAGGTCCTCTTACAAATGCAGCTTTTGATGATAAAATTTGAATTCAACAGCTATTATTGTAGGGTTGGATGGATTATCCCTAAATATTTTGTTCCAGCAGCTGGGTATCTTTAATTGACCAACTCTTTTACAGTAAGTTTAAGAAATTTCTTCTGTATGACGACTACATGATTAGAAAACATCAACTTAGGATTTATTCTTCTTGCGATAAGACGGGCTTTCCCTTACTAGTAATCTTTCTTAGTGCTACATATGATTATACCTTCTCAATGTATAATCTACTATGTTACTGAGCAGATAAATGTTCCTTGCTATCTTTCCAAAGGGCAACAGGCTGTCGGCAGTAGAGTACCAGATCAACTTATCTATTTCTATCTTAGACATATACTGACCTTACATATTCACAATTCTTATGTGCCGTCTTTAGGTAAATGCTTGCCATCCTTGATTAAAATGGAGACTGCACTTTCAGTTCCATCTGTACTAGACTGATTCTGATTGTTTGCTTGCCCCTTTGGAACAGTTGACAGGAGATATACATGAGGAGGTTGAAAATCATAATCGTGCATTGGATCGTATGGTATGCAATCTTGTTGTCCTAGATTGATTTCCTTTTTTTTTTTGCAGATGATCTAAAAGCTGTAAATGAGACTTCGGCTTTGCATTTTCTTTGATGTAATACAGGGGAATGACATGGACACATCACGAGGAGTCTTATCTGGAACTATGGATAGATTCAAGATGGTACATCAATAATGCTGCCTCTTATCCTCTCTTTTTGTTTTTGTGAAAGTATACTGCAATTCTATGGACTTCTGAAAAGCATAGTCCATGGGGCCTTTTCTCTCCATTGACACAATGGTGATCGTGACATAGAGTATGTGGGCAGGCATACCATTCAGGTGATCCTGTTTTGATGAGCCCACACTGTCACCATGTATCATTTCAATGAGTGCCGATGGCCCCGACATACTTTGTTTTTTCATAGCCCACTGGAACTGTATTTATTGTCTACATTTCATTTCAGAATAAGTGAAAATGTTTTCTACCAAGTAAGATTTGTGAAATGTTAAATGAAGTTTCAAAATTTGCAGGTATTTGAGACCAAGTCAAGAAGGAGAATGGCTACATTGGTGGCATCATTTGTGGCTCTGTTCTTACTCATCTATTACCTCACCAAGTAGTGGAGTGACCATGGTTAAGTGCAGAATGTATGGTGACTTGACTGCTACATTACTTAAGCTCTGTTACACCTATAGCAAGCAGTTCATAAAAGATACTGAACATTGTTATTCCTTTGTATGGTGTTTACATTGTTTCTCTAGATTTTATTCTCCTAGAAGAATTACATGCTAGAGTCCGGTTCTGTCCCTCAATTTTCCGCTTAATGGCTTCTTTGACGTTGGGAAAGTTCGTGGGCAAGTCCTTTGCGTAAATTCCTTAATGTTTACATTCTCGTAGTTGATTATTCATCAATAATCCTGAGAAGAACATGATCCCTGCTGAAAGTGGTGGACACGTTTCCTATCCCTCCCTATAATTTCACGATTGTGAGCCTCTGAAATTTATTTGATGAACACACGACAGTCTCCATACATATTAATGTTCTTTACTATTCGAATGGGGATCATTGGACTCAAACTAAGAAGCCCAAAAGCAATTGAGAGCTTCTCAATATGGACTCCAATAGCATGTTCCTTTTCCTCATCTTCTATATCATACAACACTAGTGATGTATCAGGTTTATGCCCACTTTGCTTCACCTCTCTGTGCATCTCATCAAGCACGCTCTTGATTTCTTCGATTTGCCGGTGCAACTTTTCCCCGACTACAAACTCATGTACTACAATATCCACTTCAATTAAACTACAACCTGGCATCTTCTTAATGTTTCCATCTGCCATGAAATCTCCCACCCTTCTGGCCTCCTTCCATTTACCAGCACATGCATAAATATTAGATATTAGAGGATACATCGCTTCGTTGCGTGGTTTCAATTCGAGAACATGGTCAATCTCTCGCTCTCCTAGCTTGACATTTCTATGGGTTTTACAGGCAGCAAGAAGAGCCCCCTACACCATGACATTAGGTGGAAGCCTCATGGTTTTTAGAAGCTCATAGGCCTGATCGGCCTAAGAGCTCAACCATGCAGCCAAAGTGTTGGATACCAGGCTTCACACAATATTCCTCATCCATACTGAGGAAGTGACGTAAACCTTTGATCACCAAGCCTGCATGACTACATGCACTCAACACCCCTGTAAAGGTGATTTCGTTGGGTCTCAAGCACGTAATTGCTTTCATTTTCTCAAACAAATCAAGGGCTTCTTTGCCGAGCTCGTGCATGGCTTGCCCACATAATGTGGAGCTCCATGTGAGCACATTTCTTCGGGGCATCTTCTCAAACACTTGGAGAGCCGCACGCAAGCATCCACGCTTAGCATACATGTCAACTAGAGCTGTCCCCCAGGCTAGACTAAGAGGATCAAAGCGAATCCTTCCCGATAAGGCGTGCAACCATCTCCCTAAATCTAGTGCACCCAAGAGTGTGCATGCTGTGCGCCAATTAACCAGGCTCACCTCATCCGGCTTCAACCCAGATAGCTGCGTATTTCTGAAGAGCAGTAACGCTTGTTTCGACTGGCCACTCTGTGTATAAGCAGAGATCACAGCTGACCAAGAGACAAGGTCTTTATGAGGCATTATAAAGGGTCCTTGCTAGGTGGGTAGCATGCGATTTTGCACAAGCAGAGACCATGGTGTTCCAAGTGACTCTGTTTTTGTGGGGTTAGTTCGTCAAATAAACGCTGGGCTTCTTGGAGGAGGTTGGAAGCTCCATAGAGGTGGAGGAGGGCAGTGACGATGTATACGTGGGAAAGGAGAGAGAGAGAGAGGTGCATGCATGCCTTGATTGCATGGAGGTAGGTGAAACTGACAGGCGTGGTGCCCTGGCTGTCCATCAGACGCAGGGATTGTTTGGGTGCGGGTGGATTGGAGCCATGTGCGCATGGGCGGTGGCCCAGTGGTTGAAGCATGGTCTGTCTGTGTTCAGCTTCTTAAATTCAGTAGATGTAGAGCTTAGCTTTGTTTTGGTGCTCACCATCTATTTTGCCAAGTTGGGTTTTTGTGGCCTATAGACTCCCTGCTTAAGATTTGGGTAAGACTTAGCTTAGGACTGTTTAAAGCAGTCTTCCAAAAATCGAACCTCTTAAGCTCGTTGTTGGCAGACAGAACTCCTTGCCGCCCTATTACTCCTCCCTCACTACTCTCTCCATTTGTGGTTAACCATTGGAAAACATGGTTCTATAGCCGTGGGCGATCCACATACCTTGTCCCCAGTTCTGCAATGGTAAAAATGTACAAACATCCTCTATCAGTGAATGATGTTTCTAAATTTGAAATAAACAAAAGTTCAGAAACCTCCAATTGTATACCATTCCAGAGCAATTACAATAAGTTTTGTGATTCTCAATGATAAAATTCCAGAGCAATTACAATAAGTTTTGTGATTCTCAATGACAAAAGTAATATGTTGTATATTGATATCTGGTTTTCTGGTTCGCCTTATCGCACTCATAAGTGTGCACATCCGTGAGAGCCTAGGGTTATCATCGGCTAAACACCATCTACAATGAAAGTTCCAGTCATATTACTCCCATTAAAGGACAATATTAAGCAATTTTTTGGAAAAAAAGAAGAAGAAGAAGAGAAAATCAAATTTGTACAGATGAAACACATCCCCTTAAAAAAAATAAAAAAATTCTTCATTACTCTCTAAATCATAGAAGAATGTTATCAGCTTGAGCACATTGATATAAATCCCCAAAAGGACTTCATACTTGGAACATCCTCGCACAGAGTAACATTCCAGCTGCATGAATTAAAAATTAGAACGGACACACTAGCATGTAATAGGACCAAAAGGATGGTTTATTCTTTCGATAAGTTTTCTATGAAATTGCTTCATGAGGAAGCGAGCATAAGAAGATTTAGAAAATCCTGAGCTCCAAGAGAAATGTTTGACCAAGGTAAATTCCATTTTGGTTCTCATTTTATGTGTCCCAGTTACTTTAGCTTAACAAGACAAAGTGATCAAAGCCAAATTTCGATATTGTTGTTGATTCAGTAAAGCATTGTAACTTATGGGGCTATCGAAAGCTCAAGAACGATCACACATTAACTTGAATCATGTAGGGATGTAGAAGTGCTTTAATTTTGTTCTTGTCCATCATAAGAAATAACAAGAAAGGTTCTTGTTTGAAGTTTCATGTCTAATATACAATTAAGTTGTCAAGGGAATATGCTAAAGTCCGTTCTCGTAGAAAAGTTTGCTTACAAAAAATAAACACACACACACACACAACTTCTGTGGGCACTTTCCTTTTTGTACTTGCTTCTAGTATTTAATAGGTAAATTATCAGAAATATAACTTAAATTTTGGTTTATTAGAAGAAACCCTGTCTTTTCATTAACATCGTCTATACCCGTTTTTTTACTTTTCGTTTTTTTTTTTTTAATTCAAAATAGCATTCACGGTAATCATATGACTGTGAAGGCATCACGGTATTTTAACTACCATAATGAGGCATCACAATACTTAGAAGAGAAATAGAGGCATCATGGTACTTCAAGTACTCTTTGAGAACTATCACGGTACTTAGATGACTGTAATGATAAAGTACTCCTTGAGAAACATCACGATATTTAGATGATGTAATGATTCAATGATTTCCTTCAAAAAAAAAGGAAGACAAGCCCAAACATATTTCTTTGAAATCGAGAGAGATTCATGTGTCCTTAATCATGGTATCCTGGTTTTCATTGAAAGGTTTTAGAAATAACCTTTGGGATAGGCTAGGTCTTGATAGTTGTATATGGCTTTGGGTTTGAGGGCCTTGTTGATCAAGTCTTGAAAGGGAAATATTGATTTGGGACCTCCTCTTGTTTTATATATAACTAAATTAACTCTGGTTTAGATAGGGGAAGCCTAGTTCAATCAAGTTCTAGGGTCTGACTAAGATAGATGGTTTTGATTGCATAAGCACCATTAAAAGTAATGTTCTGAATCTGGACATGTCTAGCTATGTAGAAATGACAATTCGTCATCCATGTGTGCCCAGTTGTGCAGTTTAAAATAATTAAATTGTTTCATGCGGCTGGACTGTATTTCTACAATATGTGGTCCAAAGGTATAAAGCATTCATCTCGAAGATGGATGTAAATAGATGGTCCATCTAAAAACAATTGTAACTAACGGTCCAAATATTTTCTTAATATAACTATTATTTCTAGTTTTTAAAATTTATTTATCTTTTCATATTCATGATCTCCATGCTAAAGGTTATATATTATCTAAAAATTAGGATCAAATTATGTTTAAAAAATATATTTAATGCTAAGCCCACATTTCTACAATACGTGGCCTGGCAGCATAGAAATCGTGTCCTTAAAAGAATAATCACATTGATTCAACAATTAGGAAGTAATGGAAATTTTTGCAATTGATCGTTGCAACCAAGAGCAGAAAGCAGAACTCATAAGGATAACAGGATTCAGAACAGAGGAAGCCCCCTTCACGCATAAAGAAGACCCGTTTGTTAACATATCTATATATATATATATATTTCAAAGAAATATGTTTGGGCTTATCTTCCTTTTTTCTCAAGGAAATCACAAAATCATCACAGTCATCTAAGTACTGTGATATTTCTTGAGGAAATCACGGTACTTTAAGTACCATGATGCCTCATTACAGTAGTTAAAATACCATGATGCCTTCACGGTCATATGACGGTCGTGAAAGCTATTTTGATAAAAAAAATAAGAAAATTAAAAAAAAGAATGTATATGAGGTTTATGAAATTATAGGGTTTTTTTTTCCAATAAACCAAAAATAAGGTATAGTTTTTATAATTTCCCAATACTATAACATGTATCCAACTCCAAATGTGATAAAATAACGGAAACCGTTACGGGTCATCTCATTAAATGGACCACAAATGTCAGATTGTATTATATCTAGAAGACCGGTTGCTCTCTTTGCTTTGGGAAAGGATTTTCTAGTTGATTGTTTAACTATACATAGTTCACAGATAGGCATGTCTATTTGGGATAAAGGCAACAATCCTTCTTTGGCAAGCCTAGTTTTTCCTATATGGGCAAGTCTACCATGCTATGTTATAAAGTTGTATGTAATATAAGAGGTGGAAAATGATGAAGATGTCATATAGGTGGAAGGAAGTGAAGCATTAACATCATCATCATCCAAAACAAACAAGTCATTCATAATCTGGTCATAACAGTGAAAACCATGTGGAAATGTAAATGTAGCATAACTAAGATGAAACTAATGAAGCAACCGTCTCTAACTAGACATAGAACTGAAAGCAAATATTTGTTTCATTCCAGGAGCATAGAGGACGTCCTTCATAATCGAAGTTAGTAAGTTCCTACCCCTAGCACATCCTCAGATGTGCAATTTCCCATAAAAATCTTCTGGCTTCCAACCGGCAAAGTTTGGAGTTCAACAAATCCTTCTCGATCTCTCGTTATATGCTTTGTCACTTATGAATCCACAATCCACCCAGTAAATTGTGAATGAGCAACAAGCACCTAAGTGCAACCATTTGCATAGCTAGGAAAATCAGTTTGTACATTTCTAAGTTCAGGACATTTACATGCATAGTGGCATTTCTTCTCGCAATTGTAGCAAATTATCTCATATTTGTCCCTTGTGCACCTCCCACGTCTATGCTTGGCCTTTTTTTTTCCTCGGCCTCTTGTTTAGGTTGCTCCTTCTTTTGAGGCGCCCTATTCTTTGACTTACATCGAGGTTTACAGCCTCGAGGCTTGCTTGATTGAGGAACTAGAGTTGTTCCAGCTCTAGAAGATGAGCAGAACTCAGCCTTTATCTCAAGGTGATGAGAAACTGGGAAAAAATTGTTACAGCTTCATTATGTAACATTAGTAACTTGATATTTTTCCAAGATTCTAGAAGAGACCTAAGCAATCTGAGTATCTATTGCTCGTGACTAAGTTTATTTCCTGCTGCCTCTAGGTCACGTACCATTTGAGACATTTTTCAAACATGGTTTGCCATCGACACAATTGGAGCCATTTTATGTCTCAAAAGCCATTGAAAAGGCTCGTAATTGAGCAGCGGAAGTGTCGACATATTTCTACTTAAGCGCATCCCATATGGCCTTTGCCGTGGTGAATCCCTTGAATTCATGAATGAGGCCATTAACTATAGCTCTTAGTAAAGCAAAATAAATGTTACGGTCAGCATTATCCCATGCCTCATATTCACAGAGAAGTTCCTCTATGGCACCTTGTTCAGGGTTTTGCTTAATGGTAGTTAGGTGTTCAAGAGTGCCTTGCTTGTTTAGAAGGTATTATAGTTTCCTATGCCACATAGTAAAATTTCTTCCACTCAACTTTTTGCCTTTAGTGGGATCTACGATTACATTTTTAGAAGCCATTCTAAGTTCAAGAAAAAAATTGTACCAATTACTATGGATGTCTGATGATTTGTTTGATCCATGATTGTACTAAGAGTATCATTTTTACGTTAGTTAATTGTTTAAGTCTTGATATGAAAATTTCGTGTGGCCACATTTAGCTCTTGCTTGTAATCAATACCAAGTTTCTTTATTGGATCTAGCATCTCAAATACCTCACAATTTGCAAGCACTCCCACAAA